TGGATGTTAGGTTATAAGGTAATGTAAGTCAGTTATTATTCGTTTATGCTTAATCTCATATATTTGCTAATCAAAACTTACCTTTCTGAGGATTAGCGGTTGAATTCCACAACAACCATCAGCGGTACTGGAATAAGTGATATGAACATACTTGCCGATTCTAAGGATTCAGACGCTACAAATTCTCTTCGTTCGTTGTCGATAGCTATCATTGATATGTGAATATTTCTCATAAAGTGATGACAAAAACTGTGAAGATTCTTCATGATCAGCTGGAATAACCTTATTTCTGAAAGCTGATCACTAATGACTTTTTTCGAATATACTGTACATGAGAAAAAAGAGTTTCGTCAGTTATACACCTTGCGTAATATATGCTAAACCAAGCGAAAATCCAACTTACCATTACTTTCCGCGTCAAAATTCATCAAACGAGCGAATATTGGCGCAGTGAAATCGGAGGGTACAAAAATCAGAACGAAAACGTATCCCAGGGTAAGTTTGTGGGAGCTTGATTTTTCTATGATAAATTCCACAACTAATTTTGTTTCGGATTCTTTTGCGATATAAGCCTTATCTTCTCCCTCCGATGTCATCATATTAAACTCTGGAAGAATGAAGAATTGGCAAATTTTTTTCTTCAAGATCTTCAAGACCGTGCAACCCGTGAAATTGGGAGAATTATGCCGATCATAACGTCGATGAGTTGTGCTTATATATTGAAAGCATGGATCAAGATGAGGAATAATACAAGGCGGAATCAGTTTATTTTTGAGTTCAAGATAAAAGTTTCACTTCTTAGATTTGCGAATCAGTCACATACTTAGTCTTTCTGCGCGATAAAAACTTAATAATCTTATAAACATTTGTTAAAAATTTATGGGAACTTTATTTATTCATTACAAATCAATACTTTTTACATTAACAATAATTAAAATTCTTTAAACGATAATCATACAACTCATATGACAAGAAAGAAATAAAATAACTTACGTGACTGAGCATTGCGATGACAGGTAATTCCATAAAGTAACCCACCTACCAAAAGGATCTGCTTATCCTAAATGATAAGCATCAAAAACCATACTTTCTCAAAAACTTTATTTATGTTTTATAATATTGTCAGATTC